TGCAAAAACATGCGAAATTGTAAAGACTATCGATGCTAGGAAGAAACTGCATCAACTGATGAGCAAAATAACCAGCCAACATCATAATGACAGGATCAAATTCACACATAACAATATTAACCTTAAATGTAAATGGGCTAAATGCCCCAATTTAAAGATGCAGACTGGCAAATTAGATAAAGAGTCAAGACCCATCAGTGTGCTGTATTCAGGAGACCCATCTCACATGCAGAGATACACAAAGGCTCAAAATAAAGGGATGGAGGAAGATCTACAAAGCAAATGGAAAGCAACAACAACAAAAAGCAGGGGTTGCAATCCTAGTCTCTGATAAAACAGACTTTAAACTAACAAAGATCAAAAGAGACAAAGAAGGCCATTACATAATGGTAAAGGGATCAATTCAACAAGAAGAGCTAACTATCCTAAATATATATGAACCCAATACAGGAGCACCCAGATTCATAAAGTCAGTCCTTAGAGAACTACAAAGAGACTTAGACTCCCACACAATAATAATGGGAGACTTTAACACCCCACTGTCAACATTAGACAGATCAATGAGACAGAAAGTTAACAAGGATGTCCAGGACTTGAACTCAGCACTGCACCAAGGGGACCTAATGGATATCTACAGAACTCTCCACCCCAAATCAACAGAATATACATTCTTCTCAGCACCACATTACACTTATTACGAAATTGACCACATAGTTGGAAGTAAAACACTCTTCAGCAAATGTAAAAGAACAGAAACTATAACAAACTGTCTCTCAGACCACAGTGCAATCACATTAGAACTCAGGATTAAGAAATTCACTCAAAACCACACAACTACATGGAAACAGAACAACCTGCTCCTGAATGACTATTGGGTAAATAACGAAATGAAGGCAAAAATAAAGATGTTCTTTGAAACCAATGAGAACAAAGATACAACATACCAGAATCTCTGGGACACATTTAAAGCAGTGTGTAGAGGGAAATTTATAGCACTAAATGCCCACAAGAGAAAGCAGGAAAGATCTAAAATTAACACCGTAACATCACAATTAAAAGAACCACAGAAGCAAAAGCAAACACATTCAAAAGCTAGCAGAAGGCAAGAAATAACTAAGATCAGAGCAGAACTGAAGGAAATAGAGACACAAAAAACACTTCAAAAAAATCAGTGAATCCAGGAGCTGGATTTTGAAAAGATCAACAAAATTGATACACCACTAGCAAGACTAATAAAGAGGAAAAGAGAGAAGAATCAAATAGATACAATAAAAAATGATAAAGGGGATACCACCAATCCCACAGAAATACAAACTATCATCAGAGAATACTATAAACACCTCTACGCAAATAAACGAGAAAATCTACAAGAAATGGATAAATTCCTGGACACATACACCCTCCCAAGACTAAACCAGGAAGAAGTTGAATCCCTGAATAGCCCAATAACAGGCTCTGAAATTGAGGCAATAATTAATAGCCTACCAACCAAAAAAAGTCCAGGACCAGATGGATTCACGGCCAGATTCTACCAGAGGTACAAAGAGGAGCTGGTACCATTCCTTCTGAAACTATTCCAATGAACAGAAAAAGAGGGAATCCTCCCCAACTCATTTTATGCGGCTAGCATCATTCTGATACCAAAGCCTGGCAGAGACACTACAAAAAAAGGGAATTTGAGACCAATATCCCTGATGAACATTGAGGCCAAAATCCTCAATAAAATACTGGCAAACCAAATCCAGTGGCACATCAAAAAGCTTATCCACCACGATCAAGTTGGCTTCATCCCTGGGATGCAAGGCTGGTTCAACATACACAAATCAATAAACATCATCCATTGTATAAACAGAACCAAAGACAAAAATGACATGATTATCTCAATAGATGCAGAAAAGGCCTTCAACAAAATTCAACAGCTCTTTATATGATAAAAACTCTCAATAAACTAGGTATTGATGGGACATATCTCAAAATATTTATGACAAATATTTATGACAAACCCGCAGCCAATATCATGCTGAATGGGCAAAAACTGGAAGCATTCCCTTTGAAAACTGGCACAAGAGAGGAATGCCCTCTCTCACCACTCCTATTTAACGTAGTGTTGGAAATTCTGGCCAGGGCGGGAGAAAGAGATAAAGGGTATTTAAGTAGGAAAAGAGGAAGTCAAATTGTCCCCGTTTGCAAATGACGTGATTTTATATTTAGAAAACCCCATCGTCTAAGCCCAAAATCTCCTTAAGTGATAAACAACTTCAGCAAAGTCTCAAGATACAAAATCAATGTGCAAAAATCACAAGCATTCCTATACACCACTAAGAGACAAACAGAGAGCCAAATCATGAGTGAACTCCCATTCACAATTGCTTCAAAGAGAATAAAATGCCTAAGAATCTAACTTACAAGGGATGTGAAGGACCTCTTCAAGGAGAACTACAAACCACTGCTCAATGAAATAAAAGAGGACACAAACAAATGGAATAACATTCTATGCTCATGGATAGGAAGAATCAATATCGTGAAAATGGCCATACTGCCCAAGGCAATTTAAAGATTGAATGCCATCCCCATCAAGCTACCAATGACTTTCTTCACAGAATTGGAAAAAACTGCTTTAAAGTTCATATGGAACCAAAAAAGAGCCTGCATTGCCAAGACAATCCTAAGCCAAAAGAACAAAGCTGGAGGCATCACGCTACCTGACTTCAAACTATGCTACAAGGCTACAGTAACCAAAATAGCATGGTACTGGTACCAAAACAGAGATACAGACCAATGGAACAGAACAGAGCCCTCAGAAATAATACCACACATCTACAACCATCTGTTCTTTGACAAACCTGACAAAAACAAGAAATGGGGAAAGAATTCCCTATCTAATAAATGGTGCTGGGAAAACTGGCTAGCCATATGTGGAAAGCTGAAACTGGATCCCCTCCTTACACCTTATACAAAAATTAATTCAAGATGGATTAAAGACTTAAATGTTAGACCTGAAACCATAAAAACCCTAGAAGAAAATGTAAGCACTAGCATTCAGGACATAAGCATGGGCAAGGACTTCATGACTAAAACACCAAAAGCAATGGCAACAAAAGTCAAAATTGACAAGTGGGATCTAATTAAACTAAAGAGCTTTTGCACAGCAAAAGAAACTACCATCAGAGTGAACAGGCAACCTACAGAATGGGAGAAAATTTTTGCAATCTACCCATCTGACAAAGGACTAATATCCAGAATCTACAAATACTTAAACAAATTTATAAGAAAAAAAATCAACCCCATCAAAAAGTGGGCAAAGGATATGAACAGACACTTCTAAAAAGAAGAGATTTATGCAGCCAACAGACACATGAAAAAATGCTCATCACCACTGGTCATCAGTAAAAAGTTAGGAAACAATAGGTGCCGGAGAGGATGTGGAGAAATAGGAACGCTTTTACACTGTTGGTGGAAGTGTAAACTAGTTCAACCATTGTGGAAGACATTGTGGCGATTCCTCAAGGATCTAGAACTAGAAATACCATGTGGCCCTGTGATCCCATTACTGGTTATATACCCAAAGGATTATAAATCATACTACTATAAAGACACATGCACATGTATGTTTATTGTGGCACTATTCACAATAGCAAAGACTTGTAATCAACCCAAATGTCCATCAATGATAGACTGGATTAAGAAAATGTGGCACATATACACCATGGAATACTATGCAGCCATTAAAAAGGATGAGTTCATGTCCTTTGTAGGGACATGGATGAAGCTGGAAACCATAATTCTGAGCAAACTATTGTAAGACAGAAGGCCAAGCACTGCGTGTTCTCACTCATGGTTGGGAAGTGAACAGTGAGAACACTTGGCCACAGGGCGGAGAACATGACACACTGGGGCCTGTCACGGGGTGGGAGGAAGGGGGAAGGATGGCATTAAGAGAAATACCTATTGTAAATGACGAGTTAATGGGTGCAGCACACCAACATGGCACATGTATACATATGTGACAAACCTGCACATTGTGCACATGTACCCTAGAACTTAAAGTATAATAAAAAAGAAAAAGAGAAAAGAAAAAAAAATTTGTTGTTGCTTATCTGAAATTCAAATTTAACTAAATTTTATCTGGCAGCCCAGTGTCCTGAGAACTCTCGCTTCCTTTACTTCTCTGGACTCCTATTTTTGTCTCCTCAACTCACAAGATTCTCCAGGCTCTGCCTGAGTTCCCACTCATTGTGATGTATCCTGGACACACTCTTATGCCAGTAAACTGATGCCACTACAGGGCTCAAATTTTTGTTTCGTGACTCTCAGATTGTTGTCCTTTGTTGTCAGATGCTCATTATCTTAAAACATAATTTTTCATATATTTTGTCCTTTTTGGTTGTTTCACACTGGAGAGCAAATATGGTCTCTGTTACCCTGTCTTTGGTTGAAAGTGGAAGTCTATATCCAGAGCTTATTGTTTATAGCCAGGATTCAGAACATGGTTCTAACCAGGGCCAAAAATGTATGTTCGATCCCTTCGTAGGCAAGTGTGTAGTTTGCTTTATAGTTTTCATGCAATTAACTACTGAAAAAAAATAATTCTCTGTATCATAAGGGTGCCTGGTGATTATGAGTGTTCCTCACTACTGTTAGGAAATTGATTAGAAGTGAACATCTGCTAACAAGAGAATGGGATGGACCACTGGGGTTATTACCAAGTACAAAACATAAATTGGCACATTACATTATATTACATTGATTGTCAGAGTTTGAACCAAAACACAGATTTGGCTGGGGGTCAAATCTTGGAGGCCCAAATTGTATTTGGAGTCAGGGCCAGAAAGACAAATCTGATTAGAGTCAGGGTGGTCAAATTGGGGCCATAGAGGAATTGAGGAAGATGTAAATTATCGTATTCCTTGTTCAATATTCAGTGATGTTCTTCCTAGGGAGTTCTGGAAATAAAAATAAAAGCATGTCCTCTCTCTTCTCTTTGGTTTCTCTTGGTCTAGCTATATGCCGCTATCCTCTGGGCATGTCAGGAGGCCAGATTCCAGATGAGGACATCACAGCTTCCAGTCAGTGGTCAGAGTCCACAGCTGCCAAATATGGAAGGTAAGGATGGTTACATCAAGAAAGCCCATGTTCTGGGGTTGGGCAGGTTTCCTGGGGACAGATTCCTGACCCTAGGGGATGGGAAAGGTGACATTATTGGCAGGGACTGTTGAGAATGAAGGGCAGACAGCAAGTGGGCCTGTCCTGCTCTGTATGTTTTCAGGGAGAGAATTCAGGGCTTAGCCACATGTACTGGTCTGGCAGCCCCATCTCAACCACAGAGGCCCCAGGGCCACATTATCCACAGTGAATGTGTTAATTGATAGGAAGTGGATTTGCTTTCCCTGACTTTCTCATTTTGAGCTGCTGCAGGAAGCAGGCAACAGTGGCAGCTATGGAAGGTGCAGATTGTGTAGGACACTGGGAGTTAGCGTCCACTCCTCTTCTCAGTGGGTCTATGAAACATCACTCACTGCAAAGCATCACTTACTGCAAAGCATCAAGACACTGAGGCCTCCAACAAGTTCTCCCCCTCTCTCAAGGATCTCTCACATAGAAGGGTCACCCTTGCCCACAGACAGAGTGTGGCAGTTTCCTGGGGTGATTGATTTCAGGGGTCTTGTACATCAATAAACTCCCTACTGCTCTACTGGTTGGACCCAATACTCTTCCTGGCATCTAATTCTTTTGGTGTGAAGTATTGATTTTATTAAAATGGAATTACCCATAAGAAAAGCAATCCTGATGAAACTTCCCCATAATTTCTTAGTGTATGAAAGACTAGAGTGATGGTTGGTGGAACTGGAAGGGAGCAACAAATGAATGGGTAATATCTGTGGGAAAAGGGAGCATTCCAGGGGAAAGGGAAAGTGGTAGGAGGTTCTTAAAGTAAACTTTATAATAATTTCACAATTTTGCTCCATGGTAGCTCAGCCTGGAGGTAATGAAATGAAACCAGATTATTTACTACTTCCTTGACATGCTCTTCCCCCTCATCCTCCCCATGTGTGTCTATGGCTCCTTGCTGGTCTGCAGTGCCCATCCTGCAGCATTGCATAACCCACACTGGAGACCCTACTATCCCTCCTCCTTATTGACATAATTTGATGTCCAAGCAAAGGGTGGCTAGCTTTGTTAGGCTGAGTTTGAAAGAGGGAAGGGAGAGATGAAATGACTCATGGGGGAACAGAGGGTAGGAAGAGTTTTATTTCTCTTTAGACCTCTAAATCAGGATGGGGAATGAAGGCTATGTGTGATCTGAAGGCCTCAGGTCACTGGTGGGGACTGTCTCTCAGGGTCTCATGGTACTCCAGGGAAAGGGATCTGACCACAAATAGGTATTGTGGTGGCAGTGAAAACTGTGGCAAGAACCCAAAATGTTTATAAGGACTGGGCAGCCTGCTCTCTCCCCTCAATACAGGGCAGTTGCTTGCCTGTGAACCAGTAAACAGCTCTGTGGTTTCTTGGTTGCTCCCTCTCTCTCCAACCCTCATCTCTCAAGGCTGGACTCAGAAGAAGGAGATGGAGCCTGGTGCCCTGAGATTCCAGTGGAACCTGATGACCTGAAGGAGTTCCTGCAGATTGACTTGCACACCCTCCATTTTATCACTCTTGTGGGGACCCAGGGGCGCCATGCAGGGGGTCACGGCATCGAGTTTGCCCCCATGTACAAGATCAATTACAGTCGGGATGGCACTCGCTGGATCTCTTGGCGGAACCGTCATGGGAAACAGGTAGGAAGAAGAGACATCCAGACCTTGGGATGTCCAAGACTGTATTTAGGCTTAGGCTAGGAGAAGAAGGGTACAGGTTGTCTGTGTGGGTATGTCTGTCCAGGGATTAGGCATGCCCTTGTAAATGTGTGACCCAGGGTGAAGGAGGCAGGGAAGGAATATCAAGGCTGTAGGGAAAGTGGAGTAGATGCATCCTGCTCCTCGAATTAAGAAGAGAGAGCCCATTGAAAATGTGGCAGGGTGAAGAAAAGTGGGCATGATTTAATATCACCTCTTCATTCGTTCTCTTCTCTCTCCTCAGGTGCTGGATGGAAATAGTAACCCCTATGACATTTTCCTAAAGGACTTGGAGCCGCCCATTGTGGCCAGATTTGTCCGGTTCATTCCAGTCACCGACCACTCCATGAATGTGTGCATGAGGGTGGAGCTTTACGGCTGTGTCTGGCTAGGTAGGTCACTAGCCCAGGAAGCCTATAGACTTTATTAAAAACTCCAACTTCTGGGAAAATCAAATCAGAAAGGGATGGGATCAGTAACTCCTGGAATGGTGATTCCTTCTTGGGAAGAATAGAGACAGAAGCATTGCTCATTAACCCAGGGCTTGGTGCCCCACACCGAGTCATGCATTCAGAGTCATTATGTTGACTGCCACTGAGGGGCGCTCCTCCAAAGTCCTCCCTGGGTGCCCAGATGGAGTCCTCCTGGATACTCTGTGCAAGCTTATACCCTTGAAACTCACATAGTTCCCTGGGGTAATGGGCCTCAGCAGTAGGCACTCACTTGGCTGTGTTTCCTTTGCAGATGGCTTGGTGTCTTACAATGCTCCAGCTGGGCAGCAGTTTGTACTCCCTGGAGGTTCCATCATTTATCTGAATGATTCTGTCTATGATGGAGCTGTTGGATACAGGTAAATCCTGGGAAACTTTGATTATTAAAATGGGAAATTAGCCACTAGGAAAGAATAATATTTTATCATGTCTTGGAATCAATAATCAATCAACCAATCAGTATTTATTTAGTTCTTGTACAAGGCATTTGGAGATAATTTAGATTAAAGAATATATATGACCTTTATTTCTAGGGAACTAAAAGCCCAGTTTGGGAAGACAAGTTAATTACCCGGAAAACAATCAATTACACAAAGCAAGGGCTAGAGTTTGTGATGGCTGTAAGTGTAATAGCCATATTTTTGACCCTCAAAACAGGACGTATAGTCTGACACAAATATTGGCCTACTTATGGAAACAAAGGGTCAGAGAATTGAAGTACTAAGTATAATACTCTGGGTAAGTCAAGAAGTCAGAAAGAATAGACCTTATACATATAAATGCTTTGAAAATTGTAAAAAGTGGACTAGTAAGGCTTACAATAGACAAGGAAAGTTCTAGGGTAAGATGAGAATTATAGCAGAGGAAGGTAGGTAGAAGGTAGCAGAAGAAAGGAAGCAGGGCTGAAGGCAAGACTGGCCTGGCTATAGTAGAAGCTGGAGCTCAGAAGAACAGAATGGAACAATGGATAAGCCTGAAGTGCATGGATGGAGTGCCATGGCAAAGAAGTGTGACCAGATACAGTAGGAACTTAGGGCTGGGTATGGGATGCTCCCACCTATCCCATTCCACTTCAAGCCTTCAAGCCTTGCCATTCTTCTAGCCCACACTAACACTTTTCTCTCTAAGCTTGGTCTGTATCTGCAAAGTGAGCCTGGGAGAGAAGTCAGTTCACAGTGAAGACCAGATCAGATGATGGAGGTTGACAGGGCTTGAGAGAAGGAGATACTAGTGAATCTCAGGAAGGGAGTGTGGAATTACAGCCTTCCATTGGCTTAGGTGTGGAGAATGAACTATTGCCCTCTAGCTGCCATCCCCTGGGTGAAGGCCTGATTCATCCACTCTTCTACTCCTAGTCACTTCCTTTCCATCGTCTTAGTCACTGTTCTTTCCTTTTTGCTTAAACTGTCTTGGCATAATTTTGCTCAGTCACACCCCAACAGGCATGTATTCAAGGCATAGAGGAAATCAGAGATCAACCGAATTCAGTTTAATTTAATAAGCCTTTGTTAGTCAACTGTTACTATATACAAGGAATTTGGCCAGGCATGTTAGGTATTCAAAGGTAATGAAGTCATTGACCCTACCTTTAAAGAGCTCACAATTTGGAGTAGGGGCTAAAACAGAATATAAGTTATTATGATTCGAGTATATGAGCAAGAGATAGCCTATGATTGCTCTGGGGTTCAAAGGAAAAAGTAAACTATAGTAGGAAAGCACAAAAATGGGGATGAAAACATCTGGATTTTATATAATAAAAGTTACTTCTCTTTGCTACAAGGCTTAAGGGATTAAAATGTGTGTGAAAAGCATTTCATAAGATAAATTGCTGTACACATATAAGTTGTTATCTGATTATCATTTTTCTGACTGAAGGACTGCAAAGATATGGTAGAATCGATGAAATCTGAATTGGGTCCCAAAGAATGGGAACTACTTTCACAGGTACAGATTCTTGAAATGGAATTTTAGGCAGAGGGAATAGCATGAGGAAAAAAGAATTATGGTTATAAAGTTTAGGGGACTGTCTGGGAAAATCAACAGTTTATTTAATGATGGGCCATATTTATGTGGCAAAGTAGTACAGGAGAAGCAAAACAAAGCAGATTATGCCATGTCTTGAAGGAACCTGAAGTCAAAGCCAAAAGGAGCAAGAAGTGGAGGAGGAGGAAGAGGAGAAGTTGCTGTTCTTGTTCTTCATAAACATTATCATTAATGTAATGAGTCATTGAAGATTTTTAAAGCTGAGGAAGGACATGATTGGAGCTGTGGTTTAGACAGATTAATCAAGCAGCATGCAAAGATTAGATTGGAATGGAATGAGGAGGTGATGAGGAACATTTTAAAACTCTGAGTTCTGCCAAGTAAAAAGAATTAATGACCAAGGCCATAACCGTGACTCTGGGGAATGAGGAAAATATATTCATTTAGGGGACATTTGCAATCTGACTGGATGTATGGGGCAAGACAGCAGGGTGAGAAAAAGGGTCACATGAAGCTTGACAGTCTAAGTGACTGAAACAATGGAGATGACATGTATTTATTCAACAAATATATTTTGAGTGCTTACCATGCACCAAGCACTTTCCAATACTATGAAAGAGAAGTGTAATTTATGGAAAAGGGAAACCAAGGAGAAAGATTTAGTTCGGTAGGGTACGATGATGGATTTAGTTTGGGGTTTAAGTCTATGAGATTGACAAGACATTCAGTAGAGAAATAAGGAAGGTAGCCAGAATTACGGCTCTGAACTCCAAGGGAAAGATTAAAAAAATTACAAAAATGTAGACATCATTGGCTTCATTTAATAATTGAGGTAATAAAATATCTGGTGGAGGTGGCTGAGTGAAGAGAGATGACATCAGAGTCTCAGGAAATAGTCATATTAGCAAAAGTTACTTTTTAAATTTAAAACAATTTCAAGAGTAATATATGCTTACTAGTGATTTTAATAACTCTAAAGTATATAAACATTGAAAACTTATTTTCCTATCCCTTCTTCACTTGATTTAATTTTGACCAAAGGGGAACTGAACAGGTATTCCTTTTAATTTCTGTTGCTTTTCATAAGACTTCCATGGGATTTATTTTTCTGGGGATAATGGGGAATATATTTATTGCAAGTAAACTTATGTTCTCCTAGCTTTCTGATCTGTAGAGAGAAGAAAAAGATGGCAAAACCTTGGAAGGGAGATCCAGGCTCTGGTCACTGTGGATAAGGCCAGTCAAATTTTATAATTTACCATACATTTTCAATGATTAAATATATTTTAAAAGGCTGGCATAATCACCCTTAGTATTTTTTATTTTTTGCGATTCACAAATTTTACAAATTATTGGTCTGGCTATAAACCTCAAGGGTCACACCCATTATTGCTTGAGGGTGAGTATCCCAATCTCATCATTTGGGAGATTTGTGTCATATCTGCCAGAGCTTGAGATGCACAGCTTGAGGAAAGACAAGTTCCACATGATGGGTTCTTGCTCTATGCCTCCATAAAAAGAAGAAAGGAGCCTCTTTGTGTTCTCCAAGTAGTCAAATAAGTATATATGCAGTTACATTCCATCCAGCAGTCAGGCTTCTGGCAAACTCAGCCTTTAAAACAGAGCCTCTTACTCAGAAGTCAAAGAAGACTGCTAAGCTAGAACACAAAACTAAATCCAATACCTGGGATTCTCATGACATCCATGCATCTTACTTCCTGGGTCTAGTATCCTATAAATTTAATTAAAATTAAATAGAAATTATTGTTTAAATTTGGAGCTTATATTTTCTCCCTTTCATTTAATATCACATTGGGTTGTTGGATATGTGGGATAGAAGAGAGTGTGACTGGATTCTCTGAAATTGATTCACTGAACAATGACAGCATGTAGTTAAAGGAGAGTCAGCACCAAGCTCTGGAAACATTTATTTGATAATGGGGCAAGTGCTACTATGTATGCTAGTATTTATTCTATGCATTTATGCATTTCATCATTTACTTAGTGAATTAATTCATCAAATGCATTTGATAATATTGAGTCATTATGTGAAGACATATTCATTATATAAGAATAGGCAAGGTACAATAAATTATAGAAAGCTTTTCATATTAAATAAGATATTGTTTAAAGGTTTTACTACTAAAGGGGTAAGCATCAAATATTTTATAAAAATTACTAATATGAAATTCTTAATTCTCCATTGATGCAAGACAAATGAGTCAATACTGTAATACAAATGTGATTATTTACAGTCCTTCAATTTCAAGATAATAAGCTCATACAAAATCTGGAGTAAAGATGCTGGGTAAAAGCTCTTCCATGAATATGTGATTAACTCAGATTTCTCTCTCCTTTTCCTCCTCTTCTCTTGGCCTGAGTAGCATGACAGAAGGGCTAGGCCAATTGACTGATGGTGTGTCTGGCCTGGACGATTTCACCCAGACCCATGAATACCACGTGTGGCCCGGCTATGACTATGTGGGCTGGCGGAACGAGAGTGCCACCAATGGCTACATTGAGATCATGTTTGAATTTGACCGCATCAGGAATTTCACTACCATGAAGGTCAGTGGAGTTGGAGGATGTGGTGGAATTTCTTTAAGGAGGCACAAATCATAGTGTGGTAGAGAAAAGGCATGCTAGAAAGAAGTCTAGGCTGATGATGGTTCAATGACATATTCTGTTACTAACTAGCTAAATGCATTTCACCAGTCACTTCACCTCTAAGGGTGTGGTTCTCCATTTGTGTGTAAGGGAGTTAGAATAGGTCAGTGAGCTCTCTCTCTCTCTCTCTTTTTTTTTGTTTTAACACTAAAGGTGACACATCCGTAAAACACAATAACACAGTGTCCAGGGCCCACAGATTTTTAAGACCCGTAAAAATGTTTTAATTTCTTTTAATATCAGATGAAAAAAACCCAAATTTTTAGGGTCAAAGATTATCTTTTTACCAGCACAGTTGCTATATATATATATATGTATACACACACACACATATATCTATATATACATACACACATATGTGTGAATATGTGTATTCTCATTTAGAAATGAGATTTCTAAAAAAAAAAAAAAGGATGAAATTGTTTTGGATTGTATATTATTTCAGGTTTCTCACCTAGCCCTGTTGAAAAGTAGAGTGGCTCTGAAACATACCTAGGAGGAAGTAGGATGGCAGTCATCCTCTTACCTCAGTTCAGAATAGCTCGAATCAGGGTAGATGGCAACTGTGGTTGAGAGGATTATAGACTCGAGAGAATTCAAGGCAAGGAAGGGCCTGAGAAGATGCCGGTGCAGTCATCATTTAACAGATGAGAAAACTGCAGTCCAGCAATATGAAGTGAGGTGGTCAAGGACAGACAGTGCATACAGGTGACCAGGGTTGCAGCCCAGGTTTTATAATGCCTGACCAACTATCACTGCTGCTGTGAGGTTCCTACAAGGAAAAATCCAGAAGAGTGCAGAACACCAACTATTTACCAAGGGTGGTGCTCGCAGAAACAGCAGGTCTTGACTTATGGAGTTGGCTGGCACTGCCTCCATGCACCTTAGCAGGGCCAACCTGTCACTCACATGCCTCTTTCTCTACTAGGTCCACTGCAACAACATGTTTGCTAAAGGTGTGAAGATCTTTAAGGAGGTACAGTGCTACTTCCGCTCTGAAGCCAGTGAGTGGGAACCTAATGCCATTTCCTTCCCCCTTGTCCTGGATGACGTCAACCCCAGTGCTCGGTTTGTCACAGTGCCTCTTCACCACCGAATGGCCAGTGCCATCAAGTGTCAATACCATTTTGCTGATACCTGGATGATGTTCAGTGAGATCACCTTCCAATCAGGTAGGGAGCTCAGGTCCTCTTTGGGAAGTGGGAGCAAGGTGATGAAGGAGGAATGCACATGGCCAGAAGGTCTCATTAGCAGGTCTCTGAGAGGAGTGGGATGGTACAGGCAGCTTCTCATTGCTGGATGCAGTGAATCCTTTGTGTGACTAGTTTTAATTGCGGAGGGGACAGGATGAGAATGGAAATGAACAAAATATTCATGTAACTCTTCTTAGAAAGAATTTTTTTAAATGAGAGTATAGTGTGTTAAAAATTTTATATAATTTAAGGCAGTTAATAAGTGTGCTGTTAAGAAAAAGCACACCTAAGCACTACTGAGATATTTAAATGAAAATCTCTAAATATACACAAAAGTAAAGAGAACAATAAACCACCCGTCACTCAGCTTTACTAATCATTGATATTTTGCCATATTTGTTTCACCTATTCCTTCCTTTTGGCTGTAGCATTTTAAAGCAAATGTGAGATACTATTTGATTTCACTAGCAAATAATTTGACTGCATCTAAGAAAATAGTGTCATTTTCGTAGCTATAATGCCATGATAACATCTAACAACCCTTATTATTAAATAATTTCTAAATACAACCCAATATCCTGTCCATATTCAGGTATGACTAACTGTCCAACAATGTCTTAATTCAGTTGGCGTTACCAGTTACCAAATAAGGATCAAAATAAGGATCTCTTGGTGTGCTTCTTTATTCTATTTGCCCTGTATCTCTTTTAATCTAAAACAATTCCTTTTTTTTTTTTTTTTTTTTTTTTTTTTTTAAGGATTCTGGCTTGGCTGATGGCTTTCTGTGGTGTCATTTTACTTGAGCTTCTGTTCTCTGTCATTCTTAATGACTGGGTGCTTACATCTACAGGTCAATTTGATTCAAGTTCAATATCTATTTTTGTCAAGAATTCTTTCTTTTTTTTTTACTTTCCATCCTATTTCTTTATTATCAGAAAGTTGTTTTTTTAAATTTTCTTTTTATTATTATACTTTAAGTTCTAGGGTACATGTGCATAATGTGCAGGTTTGTTACATATGTATACTTGTGCCATGTTGGTGTGCTGCACTCATCAACTCGTCAGCACCCATCAACTCGTCATTTACATCAGGTATAACTCCCAATGCAATCCCTCTCCCCTCCCCCCTCCCCATGATAGGCCCCGGTGTGTGATGTTCCCCTTCCCAAGTCCAAGTGATCTCATTGTTCAGTTCCCACCTATGAGTGAGAACATGTGGTGTTTGGTTTTCTGTTCTTGTGATAGTTTGCTAAGAATGATGGTTTCCAGCTGCATCCATGTCCCTACAAAGGACACAAACTCATCCTTTTTTATGGCTGCATAGTATTCCATGGTGTATATGTGCCACATTTTCTTAATCCAGTCTGCCACTGATGGTTGTCAAGAATTCTTTATGGATAGTGTTGTATATTTTATGCTGAACTTCATCATGGGGATATAATGCTAGATCCTCTCACTTTTTATGATACTAAGATTGTTTTCTGGTTCCTCATGAACTTTTTCCTTAAGTTTTATCCTCCATTAATAACCACTGTCTGAATTACTTATTTCACTAGGGGTTGCTAAATGATGATTTTCTAATTCTTTACTTGTTTTCTGCATTTCTTAGCTGAATTTCTTCCAAATAGAATAATTATTCTTCATGCACCAGTTTACTCAGAAATCACATTGAAAGACCAGGATATGTGACTTATTTTCCCTTTTAATTATTAATTTTCAGAGTAATGACTTGATACCCTAGCAACCCTCAATAATGTCTAATGAAGTTTGTTTTTTACTCTTAGTTTTTGGTATAATTATAAACTAATTGCTTTTTATCAATTTAATGTTTAATCGATTGCAGAGTTTTTTTTGTTTGTTTGTTTTTGTTTTTGTTTTTTTTTTAGACAGTGTCCCTCCCTGTCACCCAGGCTGGAATGCAGGTGGTGTGATCTCGGCTCACTGCAACCCCTGCCTCCTGGGTTTGAGTGATTCTTCTGCCTCAACCTCCCAAGTAGCTGGGCTTACAGGTGCCTGCCACTGTGCCTGGCTAGTTTTTCTATTTTTAGTAGAGATAGGGTTTCGCCATGTTGGCCAGGCTGGCCTTGAACTCCTGAACTCAAGTGATATGCCTGCCTTGGCCTCCCAAAGTGCTGGGATTACAGGTGTGAGCCACCGTGCCCAGCCATTATTCTTTTTAATACTCAAGTTGTGCTGTCTTTGACTAGAGTTTGCTTTTTTTTTTTTTTTTTTTTTTTTTTTTTCTGAGACAGAATCTTGCTCTGTTGTCCAGGATGGAGTACAATGGCACGATCTTGGCTCATTGCAACCTCTGCCTCCCAGGTTTAAGCGATTCTCCCGCCTCGGCTTCCCGAATAGCTGGGCTTACAGGCACCTGCCACCATGCCTGGCTTTTTTTTTTTTTTTTTCTTTCTTTCTTTTTTTTTTTCTTTTTTTGTATTTTTAGTAAAGACAGGGTTTCACCATGCTGTCCAGGCTGGTCTCAAACTCCTGACCTCAGACGATCCGCCCGCCTAAGCCTCCCAAAGTGCTGGGATTACAGGTGTGAGCCACTGCACCCAGCCTAGAGTTTGCATTTTTAAGGGAGCTCTTTGCTCTTTGGATCTGACCCTAGAAGCCTTTGATATCTTTCTTGTTTTCTGAAAGAACAAGGTATTTCAAGCTCATTTTGAACATGCACTGTGCCCAACATGTAATCAACCATTTCTTTAAGAAATCTTGATTCCTTTTAGTAGAAAATGGTATTTAGAGAACACAAACTGGGCAGTAGGGATGTTCATTGCTAATAGGTTGTCATTGTTTCTTGAATTTTTTGCTGGAAGAAAGCAATTCAATATGTATATTTAAAAAGAAAAAGATTATGAGTTTACATTGTTATTTCCAATTGAAATTAAAGATAAGGTTTTTATTTAAACTTGATTTTATACTTTCATCTCTATTATTTATGCTAAATATCATGTTTCCTAACAATGTTAACAGCATTTTCTTCATCCTATTATTCAAAAAGCAATACCAATATTATTACTAGCAACATAACTATTGAGCATTAAGATTTCGTAGCAATTCTCTTTTCTTTGTCCTGAGAATATATCCTACTAAGAATGTACAGTCAAAGCACTGTGTTCTAAGGTCAGTTGGATAACAGTGGTATAATTCTTTTCTGTATATAGTTATATCACCAATGTGGTATACAGTTAGGGTAACAGTGGGATAATTTTTTTCTGTATGTAGTTATGTCACCAATGTGATATACAGTTAGGTTCATTGTATTCCATTTGTTTCAACTTTTAGGGATTCGTTTTAAACTGTAAACACTACTTTTGATTGGACAGTAACAGCAGCAAATAGTGATTTAACTTACTGGTGCCAGAAACTGTGCCAAATCTTGAAAAGTTAAAAGGTGTTTAGAATATTGTTCACACTATTAAATTTTAGATGGGGAGACGAAAGACACACAATACTAAAAAAAGGAAAAAAAAAAAAAAGAAAGAAATGTCCAAAGCAATATGAACAATAAATAGTCAGAAGGAGAGAGGCACTAGACTGTGTTTGTCATAGACAGCATCAAAGAAATAAGATTTGTACTGGGCCTGGAAGAAAAGTCCAGGTGTAAAATAACACAAGAGAGAGGAAGAGACTAATTTAAAGATAAACCACACTTTGGGAGGCCAAGGCAGGAGGATTGCTTGTTATCAAGAGTTTGAGACTAGCCTGGGTAACATGGCGAAACCCTATCTCTTTAAAAAACACAAAAATTAGCTGGGTGTGGTGGCACATGCCTGTAGTCCCAGCTACTTGGGAGGCTGAGGTGAGAGGATCACCTGAGTCCCAGAGGCAGAGCTTGCAGTGGGTCGAGATCGCACCACTGCACTCCAGCCTGGGTGACAGAGTGAGACCCTGTTAAAAAAAAACAAAAACAAAAACAAAAAAACAAAAAACAAAAAGATAAACCAGAAGAACCCATCCTTTCAGATTTGATTTTTAAGGGGAAAAAAATAATTCAAGATGGTTTGCTTATTAAGATGTACTGATAAGAAAATAGAGCATATTTTTAGGAAAACAGGTTTGATGTTTAAATGCCTTCTGTGCTAATGATTTAATCTAACAGTAAGTTGATTGATTGTTTTAAGTTGATTGATTGTTTTATCTGAATACTGAGAGTAGAAATCAAGACACTCAAAGTCAATGCCACTTATACTGTAAGTGTTAACTGGGGGACAAATAGATTACTACCCATCCTCAGGGATTCTCCTGGCATAGTAATCAGTACACTTATTACAGCTAATTATAGCTATGAAGCATGGTTTTTGACTCCTGGGGTCTCTTGAGCTTTAAATCCAATGCATAATAATATTAGTTTTCACTGGAGCCTGATAACTGAACTCATAAAGCACATGCAGAGGCCAGATACCTCCTTATTTATATAATAATGTTAAGAAGAAGAAAAATTAGGATAGTTGGAAGAAATATCTCTTAGAAAGGAAATACGGATTCTAATTCTTGACCCCCTTGATTAGACAAATCAGTGGGAAAAATTCAGGCAAAGCTGCCAACATCAATCTGGCAAATACACTTTTGTGGTTTAGTCTCAGAAGCTGCAAAATCACAGTAGAGGACCCTCCAATGTCAGTAAATATCTATAAAGATGAAGCCTTAATTCATAAATTGAAGGCCTAGACCAATGAGGCATAGTGGAGACTCTTTTATAAACAATCTAATTTCCTTGAAGGAAAAAGCATCTTAACACTATGTCTATCCCTTGCCCATTTACCCGCTATATTCTGTCTATATTTTCACTGAATTTGGGTACTGCTTCTTATGCTTTATAATAATGCATGGTCACAGCCTGTTGAATCGCTGTTTCTTAAACTTTCTTGTACCATAGCATCTAGTATGTAATATGTGAAACAAAAATTTTACAAAGGAAAACTTGCTCTTACTATTTAGATAAATGGTGATACTTTTATTTGATGTATTTATGATTTTATCTTTTTAAAAGACTGATGGCAACTCACTAAATTGATTTCATAATGTGCTAGGTCACAATATGACTTCAGAGAAAACACAGCTATCTGTCTTCTCCCTGGCTCTGACTCACCCTTGTTTTATAACAGATGCCGCAATGTACAACAACTCTGGAGCCCTGCCCACTTCTCCTATGACACCCACAACCTATGGTATGTGTGATTCCTAATTATACAAATTAAGTTGAAGGGACTTCCTGGAGGATGAAGGGTAGAGAGTTGCAAAGCCCTGGCTGTGTGGGAGGCTTTACACCAGTTGGCTTTGGATGAAGAGTAGCCCTGGAAAGGTAGGACTGTCTACCTCCAAGTTATAGATCCAAATATACTCTCTTCACTACTGATTCATGTGCTTCTTCAGCTGAGGCAGAGTCTGGAGTTGTCCCAATTTCTCCATGAAAGTTTGGAAATTTGAGGTCAGAAACAGGGAAAGGGACATTCCTAGGTCAGACCCATAGTGGGTATTTCTAAGAAGGGGTGAAAATCTAAGAAACAAAATGTTGATCTCTCTAATTGGAGATAAATATGCCATGTATGCCTTGCTTTAGGCAGTCATTGGTGACACTAGCCAGCTATATGGGAAACATGTGTGATTGCATGTGTCCAAAGAGGACTTTCAGCTCCCTTGGCATGTCTCAAAGAATGCAGAGAGTGAAACTGATTCTTCAACTGTTTTTCATGAAGTGTGATTAAGGGACCATAGACTCAGGCCATAATAATACAGAGACAAAATTTTGGGAAGAATAGAAAAACTCACCATTATTCTGTCTGACACACGGGGAGAGGGAGAATACTGTCTTATGAAAGAGGGAAGTAGGATTTGTGAACAAAGTAATAAAACAGGATGGGCATGGTGACTCACACCTGTAATCCCAGCACTTTGGGAGGCAGAGGTAGGCAGATCACAAGATCAGGAGTTCGAGACTAGCCTGGCCAACATGGAGAACCCCATCTCTACTAAAGATACAAAAATTAGCCGGGCATGGTGGCGCATGCCTGTAATCCCAGCTACTCAGGAGGCTGAGGTAGGAGAATTGCTTGAACCTCGGAGGGAGAGGTTGCGGTGAGCCGACATCATGCCATTGCACTCTATCCTGAGGGACAGAACAAGACTCTGTCTCAGGAAAAAAAAAAAAAAAGTAATAAAACAGTAGCAAGAAAAAAAAAAAAAAACAAACCTGTAGCAAGAACAAGAATAAACAGAAGTATTAAGGTGGCATCTTCCATAATTATCTTCAAGGAACAGGGTCTACCTCCATGTTTCCAGTCCAGTCCCTCATACTTTTACTTGACCTGTGAGATAATTGTATTCTCTGCCTTCTCTCCCTGGTCACAGATCCAATGCTTAAAATTGATGACAGCAACACTCGGATCCTGATTGGCTGCTTGGTGGCCATCATCTTTATCCTCCTGGCCATCATTGTCATCATCCTCTGGAGGCAGTTCTGGCAGAAAATGCTGGAGAAGGTGAGGAGGTGCAGAACGGCCATGATACAAGAAACTGCTCCTTTCTTTCTTAAGCAACTGTTGCCCCAGGAGTAAAAGGCACATTGCAAACATTTATTAATGGTTGGAGTTAATTGAGGCTACCAAGAAACATAGGAATGAAGCCAGAAAAGAATTAGCTAAGTCTATTTTCTCATTTTTAGAGTGGAGATGTTGGAACCTCCCTAACCTTCCTCGAAAATGCAGAAAACTCTTAATACATTGAATCTCAACTCAGGCATTTTCCTTGAAGATTCTGATTCACTGGATTTTGGGTGGAGGCCAGGCATCCATACTTAAAAAAAAAATTAACAAGTGCTTCTGATGCACATTCAAATTTAAGAATTACTCTCTCCTAATGCCAAGCTGAAATTTCTGATAATGCTGTTGAAGTTCCTTCTCATCTTTTTCACTTTGCTTGTCTGTTTTGGGGTGTGTGTGTGTGTGTGTGTGTGTAGAAAAACATCCAGCTTCATCAATGTTCAAGTCAAGTTTCTCACTACTCTATTTCTACTTTTGTTCACTTGAAGGTTATGATTATGTATCCCTCTGAGTCCCTTTTCAGACTCTGTCTATGCCAACTGATCTGAATAACTTTTTACATTGTCTAACACTTTACAAGAAGCAGACTTTTTCCTCATGCGTAATTTTATATACACCTCATTGAGTAATAACTCATAGGTATTGTTATATTTAACTATTTTTCTGATGAGAAAATGTGATGTGCTTAAGGTCATACAACTGGTGTCCAGTCTTCCATGCTTTTTCCAATTGTTAATATTGAAATGCATTTATTTCTTTCTACATTCATTTCATCAAAGATGGAATATCTATGACTTGTCTTGCTTTCTTGGACCAAATAGCAACTCACTGCTGCTTAGTGTCTATTCTTTTGGGGTCTGCTGATGATTAAGTATTTCTATGTTTGGCCATGGTCACCTCTCCTGGTCAATGAGTTCCTCTCATTAGACATATACTAGGAGAAGCCACAGAAATTCTGAGCTTTGGGGCTTTGAACTGCCTCCTGAGGGCAGGGAACAGGAAGAAGGAGAAATCCTGATTGATTTCAGTGTTTGGGGGTGGGGTCTCAGAGGAGAACAATGCCTGTATGGGATCTCTATTCCAGACGAGAGGAAAGGGCACCATGAGAATGGGCTTGAGTCTCCAGAGCATTCTAGATGTAGGATGGGAGAAAAATGGCTCAAATCAAGGGTAAGGAGGAGCAATCCTGATGAGTAGCCTGCAATTCCTTCTGACCTGTGCCACCCTCAGGTTCCTGAGATGGTTGATGTTTGTTTTAAGGTTTTTAGGCAGGAATATTTCATGTAAGAGGTCTCCTTGCTTCCCACAAGTATGTCTACCAGTCTGAAAACACTTAAAGCTTTCAATTCACAAATAGCGACAGAAGACTGAAAGACAGAATCCACAGAGACTCACTCACTGTCATGAGGTGTCTCAAGGCATGAATGAGGCAAATATCAAAACTTTTCCTCCTTTAGAATGCTGGAACACACTAGTGTTTAATGAGGTATTCCAGAGTGAGGGTGGTGGTGAACTGAAGATTCATTGAACTGCTTGAAGAGAATATGTAACCTTCTTAAATAGTCTGTTAGGACCACATTTTAGCCAAGGGAGGAGGGTCTGTGTTCTCTACTCTATGAGCTCTTTTTCTCTTTATGTGAGCCACAGTTTACCACACTTCTCTGAGTCTTTATTCTGAGGCCTGTTGGAATATCTTCATGGGCTAAGAGAGAAATGTTGGAATCTCCAGGTAAAAGGCAGAGCAAACATTTTTCCCTTGAATATTTAACTTGGTCCTCTGAGAAATTCTACCCCTGTATACCCTGAGTAAGATGACTCAAGGTGCTCTGGAATGACACCCAGGATTTCTTCCTGGGAACAAAATTTTATGTGGAAAATCATTGAGTACACACATATATTCTAAGAACATTACTTAACATAGCTGTAGACTGTAGCATTGTTTGTAGGATACTTTTGATGGTGTCCTCAACATTCCCTCTTTGAGAGATTCAACCCACATATATTGAGTAACTACTTTGTTCTGAGCTTCATGCTTGTACTGGGGATATTACTGCAACAAAAGACCTTTCAGTCTAGTGGAAAAGTGCACATCTAAGTTTCGCCATTGAGCACCCAAGCTGTGTTTGTTGGAGTGGAGCATTTTACATGCTTAAACTCAAATAGTCACATACATGCAAATGTTGGCATTTTCCTTTTGATGGAGCAGGCAGGTTATATTAGATAAGATACCACAGAAGTGGTTGCTTTGTTGTTCTCCCTCCCTTATTAGGTGTAAGTCACATTGTTATCTCTGGACACCTAGAGCTTTCCTGTCCCATATTGTAGCCATTTTATTTTTGGTTAGTGAAAATATGGGTCAGTGGTGGGTATTATCCTAATATAGGGTGTCAGAATGATCAATTAGAACTATGGATTCATCATGTTATAGTGCATTTATTAAGTTAATAAAAAATTTATGTTTATTCCAAAACCAAGCAGTTAAAGGGTAAGCCAGCAAAACCCATCATTTAATAAAACATAGAAAACTCTATAAGATTGAGATATTTGGCTACCGATAGGTTCTTATAGCATCAAGGAGATAATCCTTTTTTTTTTTTTTTTAAGTGTTTCAGAAAGCACATCATAGAAATTAGAAGATCAAATTCTACCTTGAAGAAATGAAGGATTATTCTAAGTTTCTACAACATAGGCATTTGTGGACCCAGACTGCATCTCTAGCACGTCCAGTGTCACTGGGGTTAAACAGTAGTAAAGAGTTATTTCATTTGTGTGGAAGAGCTGAGTTTAAGAAGGGGAGGAATTGACCATCTTTTTTGTGCCAGCATGTCTTTCTCCTTGTTATTCTCTTCCAGGCTTCTCGGAGGATGCTGGATGATGAAATGACAGTCAGCCTTTCCCTGCCAAGTGATTCTAGCATGTTCAACAATAACCGCTCCTCATCACCTAGTGAACAAGAGTCCAACTCGACTTATGATCGCATCTTTCCCCTTCGCCCTGACTACCAGGAGCCATCCAGGCTGATACGAAAACTCCCAGAATTTGCTCCAGGGGAGGAGGAGTCAGGTGAGGATGATGTGGTGGGCAGGGAATCGAGGGAGAAACTTCGACAAGCCTCAGGTAGGAATGACGCACCTGCTCCCAGTTAACTGTATCTATTTTTAGTCTCTACTAACCTCCTGAGAAGTCCACATTCTCTTTCTAGATTTGGTCTGCAGCTGCTCCTGGCCCAATTTGAGCACCTCTCCCTTGATACTGCATATAAGATGTGTGGAGGGACCCACATACCAGAAAATAAAGAAAAAAAAAAAATTAAACATGTGAATTAGGTGTTAACACCACAAGAACCTAAACAGTCCAACCAGTCTAACCTCATTTCACATGTCGGGAAAGTGAAAAAGCCCAGATAGAGTACTCATCCAACACCAAATTTCATGAGTGGGTAAAGGCAAGACTAGATTTTCACCTGGAGAAATAAATAAATAAACGAAGCTAAAGACATTCCAAAATTCCCGGTGGTATAGCCATTTAAATAACTAAAATAAATAACTACTTGAGTTATCTATTTTTTGGTAATTTCTCTTTGGTAAACATTTGTTAGAGTAATATGAGATTTTATTATGAGAGTAAAATATTTCTCCCCTTTTCTCAATAAAAGCATTGAAATAAAACAGGTAAAATAGTAAGTAGTGTCAGTTCATTCAAATTCCAATGTCTTTTAAAAAATGATGCAGAGTCATATCAGAAGGGAAGCTGGAGTCACTTCTTTAGCTCAGAGCAACTTTTCTATAAGGTCGTCTGCCTGAGGGACTCAAGCCAGTAGAAAATACTTTGTAGTGTTGAGGAGAGAGGAGCTAGGCCTGAGCTGAATGTAGAAGCAGACAGGACTAAATTCAAGAGCATAAGATTTTACAGGAAGGAGCCTGAAGGGGTCTTTTCAAAGGATAAAAGGAAACTTGCATCTATTTTATTATTCAATGGACAGAAGACATGAAAGAGCATGCTAAATTCAAGTAATTTCACAGAGACAGCAACAACTAAGGATATAAACTGATTTATTTCTTAGGGTGAATGGAAGTAATTTACCTATTTCCTAAGTTTAAAACATTCCCCACCTCGTATTTTAATTTTTTTTTTTAAGTTAGAATATGTCTTAAACTAGATCATATGTCTTTAATCTAAAAGTTTTTTATATCTAAAATCAGTTTTTAAGTCAATAACAGTGTCTTAAAATTAAGGAAATACATTATTAAACCTTCAACCTTTAACATTCCCACCCTGATATACCATGAGCCTTCCTATAGCTTCACCACACAATTCCACAAGTTTAGCCACAGAATTTGTAAATGGTCATGTATTATGAGGAAAAGAATGAGAAATAAAATTGTGTTCTACATTCTGAAGGCCACAAGAAAATCTTTAGAGGAAGCAAAACCATTTTCCAAGTAAGAATGTAATGAAGCAGGTTAGGCTTTCACAGGGGCATGTTTTAGCCTTCCTCTCAGAGTTCCTTCCTGAAGAGATCTCCAAAGACGCTCCATGGAATGAGGCTCGTTGCCCTTGTTTTCCCAGGCTGCAGCGGTGTTGTGAAGCCAGTCCAGCCCAGTGGCCCTGAGGGGGTGCCCCACTATGCAGAGGCTGACATAGTGAACCTCCAGGGAGTGACAGGAGGCAACACATACTCAGTGCCTGCCATCACCATGGACCTGCTCTCAGGAAAAGATGTGGCTGTGGAGGAGTTCCCCAGGAAACTCTTAACTTTCAAAGAGAAGCTGGGAGAAGGACAGTTTGGGGAGGTGAGTTGATTCTTTGAGTGGGGCCTCCAGTCCCTTAGAGCTCGAAGGAGGTGGTTGGATAAAAATGGTCAGTAGAACAAACAGTCCCTTCCAGAGGTGGATTCACAAAGAGTGTCTCTTCCACTTGTCTGTCCTTGCGTTGTCCTCTGGATTCTAGTATTGGATCAACCTCATCTTTGTCAAATAGCTGTGGAGTTCCTAGGACTTCTGATTTCTATACAGGAGTTTTTAAGGCAGGCAAGTCACTAGACTTCAGATATCTTGAAACACATTCAATATTTTCAAAAATGTTTACAATAGATTATGCAGGGTGGGATCCACAAGATGTGATCATCTTTTATGAACTGTCCAGGAACATTCTGCTTCTCAATAGCCACTTTGTTTTTTTCCCCTTTAATGAGAGTTATATGTAAAATGGTCAAAAACAACCTCGCCCCTGCCTTTGGTCCCAGAATCAGCCACTAGGGAGTGAATCACCAACCAAGATAAGGAGGAGTACTCTTTTCATTTGCCCTCAGAGTGATGCATGCATTATTAAACTTTTCACTCTTGCATCAGTCACATGAACCTTCTGGGAGCTCAAAGCAATGTTTTGAATTGTAATAGGAACTCTTCACCACTGCCGTCTAAACTCCAAATAAAACACTTGGTTTCCTAAGATGTGTTATTGGTTTTCAGTGTGGATCTCATGTTCTCTCCTTAGATAGGTCTGGTGTTGCAAGAGGTGGAGGGGCCCATGTTATCTGTTCATGGTGTGACATGTACTCATCATGTCCCCTGGGTTGAAAACCCGTATCTGTTATACTGTTGCTAATACACAGAAGTTGCTTATAATGCTAAACCCTATGCTAAGGAAACTGCCTTATGTTTTACATGATCCAGTGACTCATGAATCAAAGTTCAAGCATTTGTAATAAAAGACATTTTATATTGGGCTATGCTGTAATATAATATTGTTACTGATTCATTCATTCACTTAATGTTCCAATCAATGTGTATTTCTAAGGCAGGAAAGTAGCATATTAGCTGGGTACTTTACCATTGTTTTTAATCTTATCAGTTTTTTGAATCATAGATATGTTACACATATCTTCTTATTGGTCCTTTGATCATTTTGCCTGAGTTGTAAGAGTTAGTTTATCTCCAGGAAATGCCCAGCAAGAGTACTGAGACATCTTCAGGAGAAATGATGATGCTGAGACTAGATGACTTTTGTCTAGGTTCATCTCTGTGAAGTGGAGGGAATGGAAAAATTCAAAGACAAAGATTTTGCCCTAGATGTCAGTGCCAACCAGCCTGTCCTGGTGGCTGTGAAAATGCTCCGAGCAGATGCCAACAAGAATGCCAGGTCTGTGGTCTACATTTTGAATTTTCCTTTATGTATTTCATCTTTAGGACCAGGAATACTCCTGGATACTTCTGAGCAATTTTTTCTTTTGAGATGGGGAGGTCAGTGAGCTGCCTCCCATTTCCACTGTTATCCTTTTTCTTACTTTGATGGGGTCAGCAGTCCTCATCTCTTTCTCCACCTCTTTCAAACACAAAGGTACATTTTCCATTGTACTTGCCACATATTTACTTCCTAACCCTCTGTGCATAAGCACTGTACTTCCCAACATATACAACTGTCTAGATGTGTACTTCTTTGGTCTTTACATGCAGACATACTCCTGCATGTCATTACCTCCTCTTGACAAAGTCTTCACAATCACACATGACTTTCTTGCTAAGCCTCTTCCAGTCTCCTTTTTTCACATTTCTATTTATTTTCTCATCCCTTTTTTCTCTTTTATGCTCCTTTTCTTCTATCTCCAGCAACCCTCAAAATGAGAAGCTACCTCTATTTGGAAAATTATCTATGAACCTCAAAGCAAAAGGATCCACAGTTCTCTAGCAGTTTTCCAAACTGGCTAATAATCTCTTGGATCTTTTTCTACATAAATTGCAGTTTCCAGCCACACTCCATTGTCTGACAGCCTTCCCATTACAATAATGGTGAGTTTATCCTCACCCAGAGAGACAAGCTGGTTGAAAGCTGGTTGTATGTGTGCCAGAGAAATCTCCATACCTGGATAACCTATACATTTTTCCTATTCATGTTGTCTTGATTTGTCTCACTGATATTCATAAGTGAAAAAAAAGTTTATTATTCTTATTTTCCAAATTATCATAAATTCCAAGAATAGTGATAGACTTCATTAAAGGTCTTGCAATGGACAGGATGTAAGATAAAGAAGAGAGAAAGGTGAGGAAATGAAACTGGAGGCTTTAGAAATTTAACTGATAATTTCAAACTTTAAGATACTGTTAAGAATAAAAGGTGACATTCTCTGGGTCTCATAGAGAGATTAAGTATTTCTTATATCAATCTTAGCACACGACTGGAGAAAGTGGCATGAGGGGAAACAAAACAAAACAAAACCACAGGACATAGGATATGACAAAGCCTTTCTCCATTGTTCCGATTGGTGAAGTTTGCCATTCCTCCACCTGTGTCCTTAGCGGTAATGGACGGCCTGTGAACCCTCCCAAGCCATGAAAACCCCTGGTTTGAGACGGAAGGGGGAATGAAAGAGGGGAGGTGTTGCATCAGGACTGCATTGATTCCAGTGGTTTATATTGACATAGTATGACTTCCAGTCTAGGATTCCTAGAAAACCCTTGGAGGGCTTATAACTCATCTGCTCCAATAGTTTTGGGAATGTGGGCTAGAGGCCTCACTAACAAAATCTTGCTACTTTATGACCCAAGGATGTCTGCCGCCATGTACTCAAACAATTATTAGTCTTGGTCAAATGAATACTTCTTTTGACATGACTACCACAGCCTTTAAAGAGCTCTGTTTTGGACAGGCTACTAAATACATGTTGCAACTGACTGATGGTTCATACTGCATTAAGAAAAGTCAGTATGAGAAAATAAAGAGTAATCAGGTAAGCCAAAGTATGGTTGTTCACATCATACAAAGTTTCTTCACTTTAGTAATATAGTGACTCCATGGCTTAAAAAAAAAAAAAAAAAAACAGGTAAATATCCTCGTGCACTTAAGATGCGATTTTCAGTGAAACATTTTACTTTGTAGAGTGGTTTTTAGCAGCCTATTTTTGATTCAGCAAATATTAATCACTTTCTGTGTGGCAGGGATTTTGTTAGATGTGAGGGATAGAAATGTGAATAGATCATGGATCTCATTCTCAAAAACATTACAATTGAATAAGGGTTCATGATATTTCAGGAGGAATAGAATGAGACAGATCCAGGTGTCAATTTCTCTGTCCTCTCAAAAGTTATCCAAAGTGAAACAAGATTTGGTATAATGTCTAGGAATAGACCTTGGTGTGCATTCTTCTCCCTCTTGATTCTGACTCTGGCAACTTCTGAGTTTATCTATGTCTGTATCCTCCCAAGGAATGATTTTCTTAAGGAGATAAAGATCATGTCTCGGCTCAAGGACCCAAACATCATCCATCTATTAGCTGTGTGTATCACTGATGACCCTCTCTGCATGATCACTGAATACATGGAGAATGGAGATCTCAATCAGTTTCTTTCTCGCCATGAGCCCCCTAATTCTTCCTCCAGCAATGTACCCACTGTCAGGTAAACAAGCCAGGTCTTCCATCTTCTCCCTGTGGTGATGAGAGCAACCTGGGATGTGAAAGTAGGGAGCAGTGAGACTTAAAGTGTATCACTGTTCTGGGATGGTGAGGGAAGTTAGTGTGCAGGGAATAATGGAGCAGCTGCCCTATGGGGGAATGCAAGGGATTCATCAAGAGTAGAAAAAGAATGTTGAGCTTTCAACCCTAGTTTGTTGATACAAATTTTAGAATGTGTACCTTTCACATCTTCCTGTTTCCATAGGCTACCTTCTGTCTTCTTGTCTATTTCCTCAGTTACACCAATCTGAAGTTTATGGCTACCCAAATTGCCTCTGGCATGAAGTACCTTTCCTCTCTTAATTTCGTTCACCGAGATCTGGCCACACGAAATTGCTTAGTGGGTAAGAACTACACAATCAAGATAGCTGACTTTGGAATGAGCAGGAACCTGTACAGTGGTGACTATTACCGGATCCAGGGCCGGGCAGTGCTCCCTATCCGCTGGATGTCTTGGGAAAGTATCTTGCTGGTGAGTTCTCAGCATTTTAAAGCCCTGTCTAACAACTGGCTTGTGGGCTGGCACGCATGACACGTGGAGACAAACCTGAGACAGCAGAAGGCAAACTCAATAGACTAATATTTTCTCTGATTTGAAATTATTTTCTTTGTGTACTAACTCTTATTATTTAATGCTTGCCTATTTCTGCTAAAAAATTAACACACTTATAAAAATTTAGGGAGACAAGTTAAAAAGTATAAGAGATTTATTATCTTTGTTTCTCTTTATTATTTCTACCTAGTGATTGTTCTTAACTTAAAGTATAAAAAACCTTATCATTTAAAGAAATGTTACCTATACAAAATATTTTCTTCTCCATTAGTTTCATAAGCATGGTTCTCATAATTATATAGACTAATTCCTATAATTGTATTTCAGTACTTTTCAAGATGTTCTTTTTAAGTTTATCATTCTTTGCTGTTTAATTTTTATTCGATTCTTGATATTCCATACCATAAGTGAGTAATATCTCTCTTAGAGGTATATTTTCTGTCCATGCATACCTGAGACTTTTTATTGTTGATTTTACAACCACTCAGCTGATTTATAGACTCATTAGACTTTTACTTCCTACAATGCCATGTACATGTTATTTTACCTTTTTTCTTGTATAACATTGTACAAAAAAGTCTGAGACCAATTTGGTTTTGTTCATTTGTGATTAATCTGCTTATTTCCTGCTGATATTCTTATAGGATTTATAAATTAATTTTGAAATAAAAAATGTATAGTTATTCCCTTCCACTCACCAAGATAACCACTATCAATGCTTTGGTATATTTTCTTTGAGGACTTTTTTCTATACATATGTTGTTTCTATGCATGCAATTTTTTTCTATGCATGCATTTATATACATATGTACGTACATGTAATTTATATTACATAATTGGGATGACACTATGCCATAAAATTCTCTCTCTCTATTTTTAACTTAACATTTTATTATCTGCATAATATTCCATTGTGTAGATATATCCTATAACTTAATAATGCCTCTATAATTTGATATTTAAGTACTTTCCAATTTCCTGCTATTATGAATGATACTGTGATGTACACCAGTTTACATAAATCCTTATAAAGATCTTTTTCACCTATGTATGTGAATTGCTATATTTTACCCATTTCTAATGGGATAGTTAGGCATTACTCTCCCTAAAGGTATTATGTGGTGTTGAAAACAATATATTAGACTGACATTCAGAGGACCTTGGTTCAAATACGGTTTTTCCACTACTAATGGCCTTATTAACCAGGAGAATCTGGGAAACCACTCCTGTTTCATTTTTCTGATCTAAAAAATAAGGATAACTGGCATGGTGGTGTGTACTGTAGTCCCAGCTACTCAGGAGGCTGAGACAGGAGGATGAAAATCTGGGCTGTGCTGCGCTATACCTATTGGGTGTCCTCACTGAGTTTGGCATTAATATGGTCACCCCTAGGAGCAGTGGACGGCCAGGTTGCCTAAAGAGGGATGAGCCAACCCAGATCAGAAACAGAGGAGGTCAAAACTCCCGTATTCATCAGTAGTGAGATCAAACATGTGACTGGCCATTGCACTCCAGGCTAGGCAACATAATAAGACCCCATTTCTCAAAGAAAAAAAAAATAAATAATAAATAATATCATCAACTTCACAATGTTGTTGTCTGTATTGAGTAGAAAATGTGAGTAGTCAATGCATGCTATTTACACCTGAATCTCATTGCTGTCACTTGTTAAAGTCTATCTTTCAACACTGTGATGATAACTGAACTGGTAAATGAGAGTCCTGGATTCACTGCAGGCACTTAAACTAGAGTCCTCTATCTCTAACATAAAAACCATTGACTTCCCATTCAGATTTTGCCTTTCTCAGGAGCATTTTCCCAAGGCTACCCTAGAGTTGAAAGGTTGACCTAACACTCAGTTGCAGAGTCAGATAGCTTATGGCTGCATTTTTTTTCAGCTCTTGGATCACAAAGAAACAAAACCAAGGTGAGATCATGAGAATGAGAGAATGGGCTGTTTCTAAATACTCCATGCACATCTTGGCATTTTCAGAATTCCTTGTCTGTGGTAGGGGAAGGGGTATAGCTCCAGATTATGAAATTTAACCAGGTATTGTTGTGCACAGGTTATTCTGATTTCTCGTTCTTTTCTTTACTTAAATAGGGCAAGTTCACTACGGCAAGTGATGTGTGGGCCTTTGGGGTTACTTTGTGGGAGACTTTCACCTTTTGCCAGGAACAGCCCTATTCCCAGCTGTCAGATGAACAGGTTATTGAGAATACTGGAGAGTTCTTCCGAGACCAAGGGAGGCAGGTAAGAACTGTTGGGGATGAATGGATGTGGACCTGTGTACCTTGAAGGATGGAGAATGGAAAGTCCTGACTTAGCAGGAGTGGGCTGAGATGGAAGACAGACTATGTGGATGATAGTCTTTGTCACTAACTATCCAAATGATGTGAAAGACCAGTATCCTCCCCAGGCATCCATACACTCTGCTTTATCTATGTGTCAACTCATTGACTCTTGGAGTCATAAAGGGTCATGTCAGGTTTCTCCCCAACTCAAAGGTAGCAGGAAATACAGTCCTGTCTCTCATGTTTTATCTATTTCTTGATCTAGATCATATGGTTTTCTTCTGGGTCAATAAATATAAGTGTAAAAGGGATGTATTAGCATTCATTAAAATATAGCTTAGTGCAAGAATTGGGGTTGGTTTTGACTATCTAGCAATGCTTCTAGACTTGGATGTCCGAAAATGGGCAGATATATCCTGAACTTGTTGCTCTTGGAAGGCATCTCTTGGACAATCCAAGAGTACTGTGACATCTCAAGACTCAGGGAAAGATAGTTTCCCAAGCTCCCCAGGAGTCTCAATTCCTAGCCAAGATACTCCAAACTTTTTTTTGGGTGACTTAGATTAAAAATTCCTGTGATGTATGGAATTTAAAGCTTGCCAGTCACTATAGCACTGCACCTCCCCAAAGGGGCCTGGCAACAGCATACCCTTGGATTATGGCATCTTTACCAGGAAAAGGATAATAGCTGGGGAAGGATCTTGCAGACAATAAAAAGTGGATCTTCTGTGGCTTGAATAGATCCAAGTAAGTCAAAGATAGATAAGGGATTGACAAGAGATAATACATTATGCATATTAAAAATAAGACAGGGGTCTCAGATTTTAATTGTCTCTTTATACTCTGTAAATATTTTGGCAGCAGGGAGTCTAAATTAGCTATCTTGGTTATGAGGCAATTTGCCTTCTTACCACAGTAAAGGGCAAATTTACTCCCAAGTACGTGAGATAAGTGAGTGGGCCAAAGAAAAATGTTGTTTTCTGCCTCTGCCATGATTGGTTCAGCCAAGATGGACTTCAATATGGGTTGGTCATAAATGGAAGATTTGGTCTCTTTTTGGTTGTTTCATCTTTTGCATGAAAGTAGGGACCACATAATGGCCCATCAAAAATTTCTGCTCCAGAGAACTCCAGAAGACAAAGGGAATAGCTTAGAAAAGGGCTGATATGATTCAAAACTTTCATGAGTAGGAAAAATGGACACCACACCCATTTCAGTTATCAAGTTCAAGAAAGTGGGCAGGGGGCAAATCAAACCATGATGCAAATATACTTCCCTTTCCCCTTTCTTTGTAATATTCTCTGTCTCTTTCACTTTTGTTTTCCTTTATTTTTTTCCCAAAGACTTACCTCCCTCAACCAGCCATTTGCCCTGACTCTGTGTATAAGCTGATGCTTAGCTGCTGGAGAAGAGATACGAAGAACCGTCCCTCATTCCAAGAAATCCACCTTCTGCTCCTTCAACAAGGCGACGAGTGATGCTGTCAGTGCCTGGCCACATTCCTACGGCTCAGGTCCTCTCTACAAGACCTACCACTCACCCACGCCTATGCCACTCCAGCTGGACATTTAATGAACCTGAGAGACAGAGGCTTGTTTGCTTTGCTGTCTGTTCCTGGTCACCCCCACTCCCTACTCCTGACTCATATATACTTTTTTTCTTTTTTTTTTTTTTTTACATTAAAGAACTTAAAAAAAAAAAGCCTAGGGCAGATACAATCTAGTAAAAGAAAATCTTACTTGATATACCAAAATGTTGGATAACAAAGGCTAGAAAATTCAGATAATTTATAAAAGTTAACTATGCTTGTGCTTATAAATGTGCAGATTCTACAATACTTTTCCATGTCACTCTAAAAGAATCTTCAGAAAGAAAAACTTGAAGAATACTAATGTCTTGGAAAACATGAGATTAAATTTAGGGAAAACACTTGATAGATGTGGAGAATCTGAGGACTCAGAATTCAGCAACTAATCACAGGTGGTTTTCTAATTTGGCCTCTGGACATGTCTCACTGTTTGTATTTCTCTCTCCTGTCAAAGTGAATGATATATTCTTGAAACCCCCCAATCTCTTGAAATGGGTGTTCTGCTCATTCATAGACAGGGGTCAGGGTTGAAGTTCATATATGAAACAACTGGGGATATAGATAGGAAAGAATGTTTGCTGCAAGAGTGTATGAAGGGGGATTGTCATTTACAGAAAAAAAGTACCTCATGGATGGAAGGATTCATGAATAGATAATGGACATAGGAAAGGAGGTCAATGGAGGACACATAACAGACATGGTATCCACCATTTATTTGTGATTTTGTAAGAGGGTTGTTTTCTTTGTCTTGTTCAGATATTTTCATGTGTGTGTTTTAGTGAGAATCTGAGTTTTTAATCAGTAAAGGCTGATGTTTTGATATCTTGATGGTAGACTCTTGAGTTCATCTTGTCCAAATCTTCTAGCGTTTTCAAGGATGAAGCCTCTGTAGGATCTTTGGGCTTGGGGCTGAATTTCTCAGGCATAAATACCTAATGGCCTTGTCCAAGAGGGAATAGGTCTGTTCTGAGTGTCCCCAAAAAAAGTTGTCCTAGGACTAATGTGGAGAAGTTACAGGGAGACTGATTTCCATTCCTTATTGGGGAAAACAAAGCACTCAGAACATACAAGGATAAATGGGCTGCTACCAGAGGTGGGGAGTCTCTTGTCAAAGAAAATGGAGGTTTTGAAACACAAAGTAGATGATGGTGTAAGACAATGTTTAATGTCTTTCTAACTCCGAGAGTCCTTGATTCTAGAGAGGCACAGGATGAGCATCTATTGCTACTGCTGAGTATACATGCTCTTGCCTCTGAGATGGTGTGACCCGCAGAAAAGAAATCTCAAAGCTGTGGCTTCAGAATTCATGGAAACAGAGCCACTGTCAAGAAGGAATCTGCTCAGAGCAGATTCTGAGCTTTCACACTCCACAGATCTTCAGAGTTAGTGGGAAGCTAGAAAAAGGAACTCTTAATTTCCATTGAGGAGAAACAAGAAGACATTACAAATCAGCTTCCCAAGCTGAGAAGGAATGGCCTTGACCCCTTGGGTCTGCCTCTGTTGCCCTCACCAGTTTACCTTCTACATAAGTTTCTCAGGAACATGTATATTTCCCCATTCAGCCTTCAGCATTGCTCCAGGCCACAGCATAAGCATAAATCCCAAGTCCACAGGATCCATTTTTCAGGTCATATTCTGATCCTAGCAAATGTCCTTTCCCCGTAGTTGTCCTATGCCTTTGGGCTTTAGTCTATCCCAGGACTAACTTTGGAGAAATCATTGGTTTGAGAGTCAAGAGAACATTGATTTGGGAGCTTTAACCCTCTTTATGCTTCACACTAAGTGCGTCATCTTGGCTAAATCACTTGGTCTTTCTGCATTTTGTTTTCTTATTTATAGGATGAGGAAATTAGATTAAATAGTTTTGAGGTCCCTGCTGGTTCTGATACATCCAGTACTAACTGGATAATTGAATCTATAACTGATGGATTTAGTAATCTGGTCATTTCTTGCTCTGAAAATTGTAACCAGCAAAAGAGATCATGGAAGAAATCACTGTAATGGTAGTAATAGTAACACATGCCATTTGTATTGTGCCTTAGGTTTACCAGGTGTTTCCAAATACATTAGCATATTTGATATGTGCAGGGCTAGATACCTTGGGACCTGCCACACTCCGCTTTCAAAATAAGTATTCTAAGCTTCATTAGAATTAAAGGGACTTGAACTCAGGACCTGCAGCCTATTCTTCTTTATCCACATGCCTCTGGTAGGGCTACATCCAGACCATGCCATGACTTCTTATGGAGCAAGAGAAAATAATATTATTTTATCTTCCTTTGCCTAAAATCTCTTCACTTATTCTTTTTTATGATTCTGCCCCAGTTCACTGGGTTATTCTATGTTTCCATATTTTTTTAAAATCATATTTAAAATGAACTTACAGTGTCTGAGTTTTCCCAGCCTTGAGTCATAGAAGTAATCTGTTTCAGATGGCTGCTCAATATATATTATCATGTAATACTTATCTGTATCCTTTTCTGGGATGAGGAAGGCTTCAACTTCTGGCACTGAGACCTTTGTATTACAGACACAGGTTTAGTTTCTAGCTTAGTCATGCCTTTAGAGTTTAGTAGCACAAATCCAAGCAACCCAACAGACTACATGGTGAGGGCCTAGTGTGTAGAATTCATACTAAGTAGTTTATATTTGAACTACATAGTAAGTAGTTCAAATTTGAATTAGAGGAACAAAGCTAGGACTTATTTGGAAAAGGAGATCGAAAAAAATGATCAGAGACTGTGGGGCCTTATTACGTTTGCAGTAAGTTATCTTCTTCATGATATATGTGAATTATTTTGTGTGCAGATTGTGTTTTGGGATTGCCAGATCTAAATTTATATTCTTGCTGGCTAATGTGCTGATAGTTAGGTCTATCTAAAACTTGATGTGCTTTCCAGACACATATGTGACCAGACAAGATCTAAAGTGCAAAGTGGTGCCTGAGGAGCAAAATGTGATTTTAATGTTGTGGAAAGATCACTTGCAAGTATATTAAGACTGTATAAAGAAGAGGATTGTATGCAAGTGGGGTGAAAAAAAAGGATACACGAATGTGCATATGACTGAATGGGGGGAAGGTCAGGGCTAGAAAGGAGGCTACAAAAAAGGGGCAACGGAGAGTGCACAGGAAAGACACAGGGAAAGATCAAGTTGAGCAAGTAGAAACAGGAGTAGCTGGAGCCATTGGGAATCCATTTTGAAACAAGAAGGAGTTTTGAAAGGGAATAGGAAAGTAGGTATCTTGAAGTAAAAGATAAATATGAATGGAGAAAGAAGAAATTCTGGATGATAGAGATGATAAAAATATTTATTAAGAAATGAAGTCAGGTTCAATGTATGAAATGGAAAGGAATTTTTCAGAATTTTAAGAAAGGGGAAGTTCCTTTTGGAAAAGATATAGCAATCATCAGGGAATGACCTTTTCATTTCAGAAGTGTGTGAGGAAGGTAGTTTGAGCATCTGGTGTATTCTGGACCATTTCAAGTGCTGGTGAGAAGTAATCAACTATTTGCCTGAACTGGGCTTGGTTTCCCAAGTGCTGCTTTGGAAATGAAGACCCAGAGATGGGGAGCTTATGGTAGTTCATAAATTTTCATGTTCTATTATCTTTCCTCTGTCAAAAAAGTTCATTTTCAATAATGCCCACCATTGCTGTGCCCAGAATAACCACAGGCAAACATCAAAACAATACGCATAAGTTAGACAAGATTGAATCTTATCTGACATCTGCACAAACAGATATGCACCATGTTGGAAACATGTGTTTTTCTAGTCCCATCCAGGCTTCCCACAACAAAGCCATGATGTGGGTCTAAACCATATGTTTTGAGTAAAGGAGAATAGAAGAAAAGGAGTGTCTGCAAGACAGAAAGAGATGAAGATGTTCCAAGGAAGTATACTAAAACAGAACAGTGAATGTTTTGCCCAAAACTGCAGAAAGAAAGAAAGAAAGAAAGAAAGAAAGAAAGAAAGAAAGAAAGAAACAGTGAATGTTTTGCCCAAAACTGCAGAAAGAAAGAAAGAAAGAAAGAAAGAAAGAAAGAAAGAAAGAAAAAGAAAGAAAGAAAGAAAGAAAGAAAGAAAGAAAGAAAGAAAGAAAGAAAGAAAGAAAGAAAGAAAGAGAGAGAGAGAAAGAAAGAAAGAGAGAAAGAAAAGAAAAGAAAAGAAAAGAAAAGAAAAGAAAGAAAAGAAAATTGCAATATATGGCTACTAAGTCTTTGATTGTAAGTTGAATTTACAGACCTGGAATTTGCTATCCTAATCTTTCCCTTTCAGTAAGACTTCTGTCCTCTGGCAGTGCATATGGTAGGTCCCTAATGTTTCTGCATCTCCAGGAAGATGCAGATCCTTATTTTTGCTGGGAAATTCTTCTTAATAGAAATGTAACATTTTAATAAAAACAGATTAATTTTTTTTCACTTGGTAATAAGTTGTCAAGAACTGAACTTAGAGGGAAAGAGACTGGAGTGGTTAATGGTGATTTAATTTCTGGCATTTTGAGTTTTCTGCTACAATTAGCTGCACTACTTGTGCCAAAGAGCAGTGAAGAATTGTTGAGTTGGTGTATCCTTTAAAAAAACTTGTTATTTTGAAAGAACTTAAAGCTCACAAGATGTTACAAAAATAGTAGAGTGGCCTTACCCTAGATCCAGTTTTCCCCATTTATAACATTTCACTTAGTCCATTTTCAGAACCAGAAAATTAACATTGGCATAATGCTATTAACTAAACCACAGACCTTTTTTCAATTTCACCAGTTTTTCCACACATATTCATTTAGTTGCTGGATACTTTTAATTCTTGCTGATTTGTAATCTGGCCTTGCTTGTATACAACAGGAAAGACACTATCTGGATAAAATTCTACGGTATTAGAGAGACTATAACACATTAATGTGTTCCTTTATCATGAGCAATACCCTGCCTATACTGCTTCTAAATTTTCTGATTAGTTAGGCTGTTTGGCATCTGAAACAATCCAAGACACACTCAGAAATATTAGGCAACACAAAAGACAGAACTGCTCATAGCTTGTTGCCTAGAAAACCAGGTATAGCAGAATATTCTAGATATTTCCTGAAGCTTCTACAGTGAGTAGGATTAGTACTGGGGACAAAATGAAGAGTTTAGAGTAAACCAGTATTTCAGTCAAGAGTTAGTTGGCACTTAGTTAATGGCACTGGGAATAGCTTGTGGAGAGAAGAGAATGCAATGGTATAGCCTCCTAATGTTTGATAAAATACTATTTTCAGAGTGGTAGAGAGGTTTTATTTGCCTAAATAGCTGCCATTAAATGGAATAACAACCACATTAAACCAAATTAATTGCAAACACAGCAGCAACCTGTGGAGAAGTTGAAACTCCAGTTTTGTGGATTACAGTTTTGAGTTTTATGATTGACATTTTTAAGTCCCCTATTTAAGGGGTCACAATTTTATAACAATGTGTGTCTTATTAAGTTCCTAGGTCATTGTGAGCACTTGATAAATATTTGCTGAATGTTGTTTTTTTGAATGAATTTAAGATGGAAACAAAAACTTGTCATCCAGTTAACTAGAGTGAATGTAGGGAGAATTTTTTTGCTGTAACATGGAGAGTTTATCTTCAAAATGAGGAAAGAGAAAAAAATATTCAGACTCGTACCTGGTGAAGTGCATTCTCTGTTTGTATACTTTTTGATGGAGAAATTGATCTATAGAGCTGCTTAATTTTTTGAGGCATTTAGACAGCAATGAAAGGTAGTTCTCCACAGGACACCAATTCAAAAGGAGAGATCAGACTCTGGCCTTATACCCAGTCTATTTGAAACAAGCTATCTAGTTTCTCCTGCAGACACCTTGTCAACAACATGCAACAATGTCAGGTGCCTTGCAGGAAAATAATCTGAGTCCCAAGCTAGCCTGTGCTCATCGACAATTACAATGAACATATCAAGGAAGAATTTGCAGAGACTCAAAGGAAGCACAATGGGGTAAGGTAATCACTTTCAGTGAAAAACTGTTTTCTTGAAAAGAGGCTTCCTGCAAACACACCAAGAGTCTGTAATCTAGCCTATCCATTATATATCCTTTATTATTCATGATATCCTATTCTTCTACCCTGTTGCCTGGTAACTTTTTCTGAGGACTGAGTTTCTGCAGCAATGTGGTGCACTCTTCCTGTGATGAGGAAACATCTGGGCCCCCTTCTGCAGGCTTTGGAAGGTGATGTGTCTTGTCAAGGGGTAAAGATAAAATGGATTTAATTTCTGCTTAAAACTATCATAGACGTTCCAAATAGAATATGTAAAATTTCTCTGTATTAGAAAAAGAAACGTGATACCAATTGTATATTTTCTTTTCTTTATTTATTCTCTGTAAGTCTGTCAGATGATAAATTGTAAATAACAATGATTAAAGAGTCATGCTACTGATGGATCTCCCTTTCTGTATAAACCGTGCCAGTTCTGGGCTTTGTAACCTTTGCTCTTTACAGTCTTACATCATTCCTGGGGAAGTGATGGGGCACGGGTCAGAGCTGGGGTGTATGTAGTGTGGACACCTGTTTGTGGGGCTGTCCAACAAAGGATTAAATAGGCCTCTAACATATGAGTTGACTGTTTATTGGGAGGAAAGCACCTTGGTCTCTGACATATCTAAACATATGAAACACTGGGATTTTATGTCCTCACATTAATTAGTCCAGTTCTGGGGAATCCAGTCCAGAATTAACTGGCAATCCCTTATTGTTATGGTTACAGAGTCATCTTGTTTGATACACAGAAATCCTTTTTAAATCCCAATATAGTCTGTTTCAGACTGTCCGCACATGCACAAACCACCCCCCCAGAAAAAAAAAAAAAAGACTATGAAAACCAGAATTTAGACTCAGTCATTATATTAGAGATTAGAATGAAACGACCCCAAACAACCAATTTCTTACCTGGTCTCTGAGAATAAGTTTATACTTTTAGTTTTCTGAGAATGTTTCTCAGAATATTTGAGTTTTCTGAGCACGTTTCTCAGCACTGGGCATGGTAGATAAATCACAGGGCCAAGGTCTGGCAGGGATGGATGGGATCATTGTGTACCATATTGTTCTTCTGAATTCCAGGAGAACAGAATGAGCCCATGCAAAACATAAACTTATGATGATAAAAAAAAAACATACCTATCCATTCACTCATCAATAAAAACATATTATGATGGTTATCAAGCTGTGTCCTATGAGTGATAAAATATTTGTAAAATATAGAATTAAACGGCATCTATTGTGAATAGAACTCTATTCTAGTCTCTCTGAGCACCTCCAGCAGTTCAGCCCATCTGTCAAAAGTCACAACACCTTGAAAACAGCACCTTTAGTGGAAAAAAGGGTAGAAGAGAGTCGTTTCATCACTTGGCTTGAATGAAAATCTTGAGGAAAGGAGAGACAGATGGTCTTGCTCTGAAGTTGTCTGGACTTCACTTAATTCAATCTGTCTTAGGCTGGCGGGCATCCGGAGACTGCGGTAATGCTGAGCCTCCACAGCCCAGGTCCTCCCCCTTCTTTATAGAAATGAGTTTTGTATGAGACAGCCACACAACCTGGTCTCCTTCTTCTTATTCCTCATCACCTCTGAGCTCTAGGACATTTAAAAATGAGCCTTTGGGTCTAGACTCTCACAATTAGGCTTAATTTTACTCTATGACTTTCAGAAAATATTGTTAAATTGTGGTCTCTTTAGAACAGTTGAAAGTGGGATAAACATAGGAGCTGATTTCCACCCCTATGATAAAGAAGTTTTATTGGCTGGGCACGGTGGCTCACACCTGTAATCCCAATACTTTGGGAGGCTGAGGCAGGCAGATCACTTGAGGTCAGAGGTTAGGGCCAGCCTGGCCAACATGGTGAAACCCTGTCTCTACTGAAAAAAAAACAAAAAAAACAAAAATTGGCAGTGTGGTGGCGCTTGTGCCTGTGGCGTCTCCCAGTTACTTGGGAGGCTGAGGCAGGAGAATCGCGCTGACCCCTCTGGGAGGCAGAGGTGGTGAGCCGGGGGTGCACCACTACCACTTTCCAGCCTGCTGGCAGGAGCGAGACTCTGTCTAAAAAAGAAAAAAAAGTTTTATTTGAATCTAATGTTCTCATAACCAGATTTGTTCCTTTCAATCTAATTTTCTCTAAAAAAGAAAAAAAAGTTTTATTTAGGAATCTAATGTTCTCATAAACAGATTTGTTCTTTCAATCTAATTTTCTTGATATAGGATAAATGATTACTAAGTAAGTTGGTATCATTGATCAAAACCTCTAGGACCAAAAGCCAATATAAATTATCACAGTGTTTTAGGGATCATTGCTGTTCATAAATAATTAAAACACTGAAAGAGGCCATTAAATAGATTAAAGTATGCTCAGTAGAGTTTGATGTGTGATACACAGTTTTATTCTGTGTGAGCTGGGGCTAGTGATGGTCCCATTACCAGTCTACTACAAATATGGAAACCTAGAGTAAGCATTAGAAACCTTGATAGCAGTTTTGTCACTGGAAGCAGGGTCTTGAGTGTGAGTCATCCAGGTTTTTGGCATTTGGAACAAAAAGTTGGACAAAAATGCACAAAATAACAAAGGAACGAACCCGTGAAGGCAAAAGCAGCGATTTATTAAACTGAGACAGCACTCCACAGGGTGGGAGTGGGCCTGAGCAAGTGGCTCAAGGGCCAAGTTACAAAGTTTTCTGGGTTTTAAGTAGTTCTTTTGAGGTCCCCATGGGCTACCCCTTACCTGGATGAAGGATTTGGTTTATGGCTAAGTAAAGGCTGAGGTGAATGTGTGCCCTATGCAGATGATGGCATGGCCCATGCTTAGTGCTTGGCCCACAGCCAATCCAAGGCACTTTCCCTTTCCATCTGAGACATGGTGGAAGTGTGGCAGGCCAGGTCTCACTAACAACTGTTTCAGTACTGACTAAG